TGACCTACGCAGTTTCTGATCTTCATCAACGACCTTCCCGATGTCATCAGTTCTCAAATAGGTATTTATGCTGATGGTGCAACTGTTTAGTTCGGTCGTAATAGTAAGTCTAATAGGTCCGACAAAGTAAAACTGGTAGCTGTCCTTGAAAATAACCTCCATTCAGTTGTTAATTGGGGCAAGGAATGGTTTGTAAATTCGAATGATTCCAAAACGAAACTTGTATTATTTAATAACCATAGAGAGCCATTTTTGGCTTTCATCAGTATGGCTGATGCTAACCTCCAGGAGAACTACTCATTGCATCTTTTTGATGTCACGTTTTCCGTTGGCATAAAATGGAGGGATTATATTGAATCAATTGTCAGGTCTGCTACTAGGAAAGTTGGTTAACTGTGTCGTGACAGATACCTTTTCTCCTTAGAATCTATCTTACATATGGCAGTTGTTTAAATGAGCTCTCCTTCTTAGTATCCCGACTGCAGGAATTTAAGCGTACTACTAGATTGGCTATTAGGTCTCCTTGTTTTAATGTTGAACTAGCTAGATGTAACCGTAAGTTCCATTTTAATAGTTTCTTTTCTTTTACTTTTCTCCCCTAGAACTCCATTCTTATTTTTCTGCCAACTACAGCCCTCAAAAATTTAAATGAAATGCCAATTGCTATCTTTTTTTTATCCTGAATCTTGTTCTTTTATTGTCCTTCCTTCTCACTAAAGTCTAATTTGCTTTCACTCCCTGTAACCCCTTGCGTCATAGTGGCATTATCGCTTTGTTTGAAATGATAAAAAATAAAGATTTCCGAGCAGTTCAATCAGTTATTTGTGTTGTATATTAACAAAAGCTTTTATATAATCTATAAAACATAGTGTTGTGACCAAGTATATGGTTAAAGAAATAACAAAACAAGTGTTGCAGATATATCATATATTAAACAGTAAGTACAACTGAAGAGTGTGTGTCGGTTGACCCAGCGTTAAATCTATTCGACTGCTAATATTTAACAGCCCCCTCGAAGGATGTATATGGCACAAGACCGAGTTTACCGTGGGTTCTCCGAGCCTGTAGTCTCGGCCAAAAATATTCCCTTCTAACGCGCATAAACGGGTTCAGGGCCTGTCTATCTCCCCGGACGAAACTTTGCCCTTCGGTAAAGCCTCGCCCGGGTTCCTTTCTGTCCAAAGGCAGAGATAGGACAGCAGCTGCGAACATTCACAGCCTCGGTTGGACAATCTATTAGACTGCTCCCCCAAGGCCTTCTCTCCTACTAATCCTATTGTATGCGGAAGAATCTAACATAGACTCTTTAGAGGGAGGACACCACAACACACAGGTATATACCCTACATTTTTTAAAATCGAGTTCACTCCAAGCAAGGCAGTTAAGCCACTAAGACACAATGGATTATTGTATGTGAAAGAATTAGAAAGAAACATCACTAAGGAGTAAGAAGAGTAATCAGGAGAACAATAGATAGCGATTGACATTGTATCTACATTTTTTAACATTAAAGTTGGCTGGAATGCAAGAAGCCGGAAGTGGGTTCCTCAAGCGAGAAGTGCAAGAAAAGAAACTGTTAGCATAGAATTTACGGTACATTTTGCCAACACAAATGTAAATTGATGAGATATCGACGCCTGTCTAGTACTGCGCTTAAATTCAAAAAGTCTAGGTATCACAGCGAAGAGCTCATCCGAGCAATTACCATTAAAGTATTTATAGAAAAGGCACAGGGAGGCAACCCTACCGCTTCGTGGAAGTGACTGAAGCCGAGACACCAGATCCGGAGCAATAATATTGCTGATTATTCTTTGGATTTTATCAAGGAGCGCTACATAAATAGCATGAGCACAGGACCATATGTGGCAACAATACTGATATCATTTTGAGCATAAACATAGCATTTCTAGTTTCGGTGTCTTTAACGAGACCACACTGTTCCTGTCATATTTCCCAGTTTAATTTTAATTCGTCAGCGTGCCTGGGTAATATTATTCTCATATCATATTAACTACATATATCAAAGTGATCAGACAAGATTATCGGGCATTAACGATTATGTTTGTTAAGCAACGAAACTTCCAGATGCAACATGTCAAAAAAAAAAAAAAAAAGACACAGACTGGATCTTATCAACATTGAAGACATTTAGATATTTTCCCTTCTTTCAGACCTACAGTAAATTTTTTTCCGCTTCTCTCAATTTGACCAGCCATTTTAGTGTGTTTCTCTCAATTTCAGCCATTTTAGTGTGTTTTACACGAGTTACAAAGATACTTGTTCACTAAAAACGTTTCAAAGTAAAAACGATCCCTAGAGTGTCAACAAGATGTATCGTTCTTCTTTTATGTGTCATGACGTGTGTGATCATGGCCCTCCGCATCTTCTTATCCCTTATACCTCTAAGCGGATCTTTAGCATATTTCTTTGCTCTACTATCAAACTCGTTAGATATGCTACTTGTTGTTTTTCTCTGTCACCCTGTCCTCAATATATCCTACGAGTTTAAAATTCTCCAAGTCCTCTTTCCTTATTATGTGTCCCAGAAATTTCAGGTATTGCCTCCTGATTTTAAGTAAATTGCTGATTAATTTTGATCTATCACCAGAAATAATACTTACTTCAGATGCTTTGAACTACTGAATCGAAGGGGAGATAACTGGCGTAATCTTAGAAGAAGAATAGAGGTAGCCAGCCGAAGAAGAATCAACCAATTTTTTTTTTTTTAAAAAAAGAGACACTGTCAATTATTTTTCCAGAATTGAAATTCCACATGATGCTTTACAGACAACATATAAAATTATTGATTGACCATGCCACTCGCAGCCATTTTCGGTTAAAAAAAGAAAAGATATCCCAGTTTACACAATTCATAAATACACATCTTCGCATTTTTACATCTGGAGATTACATTGAAGCATGAAACAGACTGTTGCCGCTTGGGTTTGACACTAATATCCACTCTTATATATATATATATATATATATATATATATATATATTGAATAAATTTTCATTTATTAATCCGACATATTTTATTACTTAAGCATTATTTTTAGCGGATACCCATATTTGAGTAGACAATCCGTTTATTTATTAAACAGTATATTTACTTATATTTATCTACCGGTCGGAATATTCGAGAAGACCGCATATTTTTTTAATAAGATTTCTCGAATATTCAGGTCGATAGATGAAAATAAATAAATATACTGTTTAATAAATATACGGGGCACCTACTCAAATATGGGTATTCACTAAAAATAACATTTAAGCAATTATATATACGCCATGCAGTATCTGACTATATAAAAGTCCAAAAAATTGATACAGAATCCAAATGCAAAGGATGATATCTTGAAGCAGGTTTTGCCGTCTATATCTGCTAATTTATTCTGAGAAAAGAATCGTTTTGAAGTTAAAAATATGGCAAATCTTCTAGTCACATAAAATTGATTGGTCTTCCATTGGATCTCTGGGACTGCAACGATTGAGTTCGAATGTGACTAAGAAATCATAACAGTTGTCCGCACGAGAGTGAAAAAGCATCACGCTTCTGAACAGAAATATGATGAGAACAGATTTTCAATCTGGAAATATCTTAATAAATATATGTTTTCTATTAAATTATCAAAAATAGTTTAATTCATTTTGATACTATAAATTTTATATTTTTTCTATTCTCAGATTGAAAAATAAGCAGAATAGGTTCCTAAAGATTAGCAGCATTTATAGAACCAGTTCCTGAAAATAAATTTGGGATGCCTTATATATATATATATATATATATATATATATATATATATATATATATATATATATATATATATATAATGCCTAAATATTAAGGTAAATAAACCTGGTTCAGTAGATTTTGGGCCCAAATATTCTGAACTCTGTGTTTTTTGTTTTTCTAAATTTTAATCCAATTCTTCGTTGTGATTTGATCCGTTCACAGCGCTAAACTCAATATAATTTTCTTGGTGTTATATGTACGATAATAAGAAAAAAAGCAAAATTCAGTGCTTCTGCTATTTGTATCAAGATGGAAATATTATTTTAATATTATTAATAATAATCAGCACACAACATGATACACGAATTATCTTATTTTCTAAGTTAACTAATTGTAAATTGGCGAGAAAATGCCTCACGGTGAAATCTTTAAATTGTGATGATTTCATTCTTCGAGACATTTGAATCAGCCCACAGCAAAAAAAAAAAAAGGCGAAAAAGGTGTGTAAATAAATATAAGATATTTTTATTTTCGCGTTTTTTGCAACTAAATTTTTCTGAGCGTATATGAATGTTAAAGTTCTTACAATCTTTGTTTGTAGTTGTTTGTTAAGATGAAAACAAATGTGATTTCTTTGCGTGCATGTTTGAGAAAAAAGAGGCAAGGGAGAAAGTGAGTAGAAAAATGTAGTAAATGTCACGTAGTTTGGTGAGAAAGCCGGGTGAACGAGAAAAGGAATTTTTTTTTAAGCCGAGCTTCGTGAATTGTTCGTCTATAAGCATGTTTTTTTTTTGTTTTGTTTTTTTTTGCTGACGGGAACGTGACCCGTTGGTTGTAAAATGTTAAATATTTATTTTCAAAGCATTAATTTATTAACCAAAAGAATACGCAATCCCCCGACCCTGAAACCATTTTTGTCATTTGCTGTTAGACTGCCTTGGCGTTTATTTTCCGTCTTCGCTCCACAGTCACCGCTTCTATTTATATCAAGCTGGATATATTGTTTTAATGTTATTGATGGCAATCAGCGCCGCACAATATGATACACGAATTAACTTATTTTCTAACCTATCTAATTATAAGCTGGCGTGAAAATGCTTCATTGTGAAATCTTTGTGATGATTTAATTGCTCGAAATGTAATAGCCAGGATACAGGTGTCATTTATACCACTGAAAAGTAACAGAATAACAGTCGTTAATTGAGTCACTACATTATTAGTTGAACGATATCTGAGTTTGTTTTAATGTCAAAAACTCCGCGACTTACGACCACATCGCGTTGAAACACAGGTTCCCGTACGATCACCGAAGTTAAGCAAAGTCGAGCCTGATCAATACCTAGATAGGGGACCGCTTGAGAATACCAGGTGCTATAAGCTTCGATGAGCAAGTGGTGTATTGGATAATAGTTCGTAATTGTTAATCGGAGAGCTTAGTTCCACTTACATCTGTGTTCGTCATATTCATTTACGCGCAAATACTCTTGGGAATGGTATGAATCCATTTCTACTCCCCCTAGCTATGGGTTAATTAATAAGGCATGTAGCATTAAAACATTATTATCTAAAAAAATAAAAATACATTCTAAACAATATCATTTTAAATAAAGTCATTCCCCATGTATAATACGCATTTTTTTCTAAAAAAATAATAAGCAAAATCTGGGGTGCGTATTATACACAGCTATATATTTTTTTAAATTGCCGTAAAATAAAATAAGAATTATCATAAAACTAAGTTAGAATAATATTATTCTATATTTAAAACTATATTTTTAAAATAATAGTAGGAAACGCTGGCCGTAATGAAATTGGAGAGGTACAATTTATAGGGTTTGAGTATCAAACAAGGGATGCGTATTATGCACGAGTAGAAGCATTTTCTCACACTTTCAGTACAGTTTAAGATGTGCGTATTATGGATGAAGGCGTGTTATACATGAGGAATTACGGTAACCTGCAAAGGGTTGATAAGCCACAAAAAACGAATCAATGAATCAATCAAAACAAACATCTCCTCACCGTTGGAGAGAAAACAAAAAACAAAAGAAATTTGATTCTACAGAGAGGATGATAAAAGTGTTCTGAACTGTTATGTAATCTCAATTCTCCCGTGCAGCAGTGAATGCAAGACGATGTGGTCACAGATGAAGAAGAAACTCGAGGCCAGAGAAATGCAGAGAAAACGATGGACGGAGCGTGTAAGCACGCAAATGGTTGACTCTCTCACATGTTTCCCCAATAACCATGTAATGCCATGTCGCAACCCTGAGGCCACATTATGTTGCAGGCTGCGCCAGCTCCTTTCTATCCTTGTCCTATAAGATGGCCGTCTGCTACTTCTACTTCAGACCTCATTTTCACTACCAACATTACCCAACATGACAACAAAGGATCAAAAAAGTAAACCAAAACCAGCTCTAAAAAAATCACCTAAACCCTTTAACATTTCCTTTTCCGTGGCATTCAAATCAACTTCTGCAGTGTGGAATCGTTCCTCATTGAGAAGTCTTCTGATATACTGTCTCTCTGCGAGACTAACCTCGACTCATTTATCTCCTCATCTGACCTGTCGATCCCCGGTTACATTCCTCTCCTTAGAAAAGACTCTCAAACCCACATGAACGGCCTAGGAATTTACGTCAAGGACAATCTCACACTGGCTAGGGAGCTCTCTCTCTCTCTCTCTCTCGTCTCCAGACCATTCATACATGTGTCTCTGTCTATCTCTCCTCAATGCTGTAAGCTACCTCTTCTTCCTCTATCGTTTTCCATCCTCCCAAGTACTCGAATGCATTTCGACAATATAGACAAGGCTACCTCTCTTCATCAGTTTGCACATATATTCGTGTTCGGTGACTTTAACGCCCATCATACCAAGTGACTTAAAAATACTATAACTGACCTTGATGGCATACGAACCATTAACTTTTCAATTACACAATCTCTCACACTGATGGTTGACTTTCTACACGTTTCCCCAATAACCAGGACGGTAAGGCTTCCCTTCTCGATCTCTGTTTCCCCTCTATCTTGTCGTACCACGCAGCTCTGCCCTCTTGGCAACTCTGATCATGCTGTAGTGTCTCTTTCTACTCCACATTGAGCAAAAAACCTCCTACAAACAGAACATCTTTCTGTTATCAACGAGCAGACTGAGACTCGTTCCGTGATTTCTTTCGTGATATCTCCTGAAATGTGGTCTTTAATCTCCCCGTTCAAAAATACGCTTCCGCGGTTTCCTGCTTGGTAAAAGCTGGAATCGAGGCTTTCATCCCTGTAAAGAAATATAAGGTTAATTCGCGCTCATCCTCTTAGTTCTCTGCTGCTTGCTCATCTGCCATTGCCCATAGGGATCACTTCTTCCACCTGTACCGTAGCGACATGTCAGATTGCAACAGACGTCTCTTTGTCTCAGTCCATATTGAGTGCAAGCTGTCGTCAATGAAGCAAAGTCATTATTTGCTGAAAGAATGAAACAACGTTTTGCATCTCGCAAATTCGGTTCCAATAATTATTGGCATCTCTGCAAGAGCATACTAAACAACAGAAAACCCACAATACCTCCTTTATTTAGCCAATTTGTGGTTCTGATTCCTCAGCTGATAGTGTACCCACAGTCGATTGCTCCACCTAGAACTGAGGCTCTATCGAGCGAGCTGCACATGACCCCATCGATGGTATTAGGAATCGTCTTAGACTCCTATAAAGCTAGCGGTGGGATCGGGATACCAGCCGTTGTCCTGAAGAAATGTGCTCCTGAACTAGCTCCTGTCCTCTCCAAATTATATAACTACTGCCTCAACGACTCTTGCTTTCCAACCTGTTGGAAGTCCTCATCTGTTGTAAATGTCTTTAAGACCCTTCTGATCCATCTAACTACCGTCCTATAAGTCTCCCACCACTATTCGGCAAAGTCTTTGAAGCTTTAATCAACGCCTGAGTAGTTAAGCACCTTGCATCCCATGATACCCCTCTCTATAACAAGAAATATGGCTTCCGCTTTGCCCGTTCTACAGCTGAATAACTGAATTTGTTTACCAAGCACTTCGCAATAACGGAGAAGCTCCTGCCGTGGCTCTAGATATCTCTAAAGCGTTTGATAGGGTTTGGCATGTCGGCCTTCTTCGTAAGCTTCAGGGATACGGAATTTCAGGACGATTATTTGACTTAATACAATCATTCCTGTCAAACCGTGTCAAGGCCGTCCTTAACGGATTCTCCCTCAGTTCCTTTCTCACGACAACAGGAATTCCCCATGGCTGTATCCTGGGCCCTACACTGTTTCTGATCTTCATTAACGATCTTCTTAACGTCATTATTTCCCAAGTAGGCACCTATGCAGACGACACTACTATTTACTCCTGCCTCAATAGAAAATCCGGCATTGCTGACAAAACTAACCTGGCCGTTGGTCTCGAAATGACTCGAAATGTGTTGTTGACTGGGGCAAGAAATGACTTAAATGGTTAACTTTAATGCCTCAAAAGCAAAACTGCTCTCTTTTATCCACCACAGAGACCCCCCGGCCTCACATTAGAATGTCTGATGCTCAACTCCATGAGAGCACTTCTCTACGACTGCTGGGTCTCACACTGTTCGCTGACATTGAATCAATAGCTTCACTTACCGCAAGGAAAGTTGGTCCTCTGTGTCGTGCCAGAAAGTTTTTCTCACCCGAGTCCATCTTTCAAATCTATAAATCAACCATTCAACCCTTGCATGAAATACTGCTGCCTTATATGGTCTGGAACCCCCGCTGTTCATCTTAAGGTCCTTGACAAAATCCAGAGACGGAAACGCAATGTGATTGGCCCTGATCTGGTATATCGTTTACAGTCGCTCTCTCACTTGCTCCGACGATCTACTTTCGCTGGTTCCCAAATTGCATGAATTTAAACGTGCTACGAGGTCTCAGTTCACTGTCGAAACGGTTAAATGTAGCCGTCTCTTCCACTCCAATAGCTTCATGTCTCGCACTTCCAGTTTGTGGAACTCCCTTCCTCTTACTTGCTTCCCTGATAGCTATAGCTATAATCTTTAAATATTCAAATGCAATGTCAATCGACATCTCTAGATGCCTTGATCTAATTCTCCGTCCTTCTCTTCATCTTTTCCTCTATCAACGCCTCTTTACTCTTACTCTCAATCCTCTGTAACCCCTTGCGTGTTAGTGACACTTCCGCCTTGCTTGGGGTGAAATGCTTAAACAATGAAGAAGTCTTTATGGAAATGGAAACAAAAAGGACATTTATACTCAGGAATGAGACAGCTGAATTTTTTTTTTATCAAATAATGATATTATTTACTCAGATTTCCATAGTGGCAAGATGTGACACGAGGTCTTTTTGATGTGGGGCTGCTTTCGGCCAATCCAGAAACTGCGTAGTCCCCGCAACTAGTATCACATTGGTGTCGATATTCCACAAGAACCCACCCTTTTTAGCGCAACAAGGGAGATGCTATCGCAGGGTTAGAATACCTGGCGTCTTCTCTATTAATTATAAGGAAAACAGATACCACGCATTGATCCCGACCAAAAGGGATGAAGAAGGAAGGCTTGGAGAATTTGTCACTCACATCGAAGGTAAAAGGGACAGGGGAAGCCAGTGAATCACCTACTTGTTTGTATGAATGAATGACGGAACGGGAGTGGAAGGAATGTTACAGGGACAAAAGTTGCTGAGAGTTACAATGGATAGGTAGTAATGGAGAGACATGATCACCCACGTAGAAGTAGATAGGTATTCTGAGACAAACGCATTGACAGTCAACCGGGCTCTTGAATATCACGTGACTTCAATCTGTTGATAAGCTTCCATCTCAGTGAAATAGTCTCCCTTCTATTAGCTTGGTGAATATATCTTCGTCGTAAAGACAGTGGATTTCTAGTGCGTCGTGGAGTCCATTCCATGAGGGAAAAAAACATTCTGCACAGAGATGAATATTTCAGATTACTTAACAACCGTGATTACTGCGGCTCGCGTGGTATAATTCAGTGATTGAATGATTTTCATTTCTATGAGGCGATCGATTTCTCAGTTAGTAGCCCGGCAATACAGACGGATTTTTGAAAGCAGAGTCGTGTAGTAATTGTTAGCAAAATGGCCGTGCAGATAACGCTGAATAGTGAGTTTGATCATCATTAAATATGTCATACTCGTGCTTTGTGCCAAAACCAAGCTTAGCTTAATAAACAGATAAGGTTTTTTGATTTAGTTCGTATGAAACAAAGGAAAGAGCACTGAACAGTTATGTAATATCAATCCTACTAATTGGCAGCGAATGCTGGACAATCTCCATACGTATGAGGTAGAGACTTGAGGCAACAGAAACATAGAAAAGTGTGTTGAACTGCTATGTAAAATCAGTTCCTCTGTATAGCAGTGAATGCGGGACAATTTCCTCACAGATGAAGAAGAGACTTGAGGTAACAGAAACAAAGAAAAGGGTGTTGGACTGCTATGTAAAATCAGTTCCTCTGTATAACAGTGAATGCGGGACAATTTCCTCACAGATGAAGAAGAGACTAGAAGCAACAGATACAAAGAAAAGGGTGTTGAACTGCTATGTAAAATCAGTTCCCCTATATAGCAGTGAATGCTGGACAATTTTCTCACAGATGAAGAAGAGACTTAGACAGCTGAAATGTGATTCTTCAGAAGAATATGTAGAATCCGATGAAGTGGATATGTCAGTAACGACGAGGTTTTAAAGTCAATGGAAACAAAAAAGGACATTTCTATTTAGAATCAGAAAGCGACAATTGAAATTTCTCGTGCACATAATGAGGAAAGACGACTTGATTTGACAGCTTCAAAACGAAACTGTAGTATTTTAGAAAACTATTTTTCTTCCATCAGTATGGCTGATGCTATCCCCCATGAGAGAAAGTAACGTTCCTACCGAGATGATTATATTGAATCAATTACTAGGTCTACTGTTAACAAAATCGGTTTACTATGGCGTACTAGACCATTTCGCTCGTCAGAATCCACCTTCGTTCGTGCATTGAATATTGCTACCACATCTTCTTTTATACTCCTGGTACATATCACAAGATTCTTGATAAAATCCAAAGAATGGTCTGTAATGTTATCGGTCCTGACCTGGCATCTCGACTTCAGTTATTTTCTCATCGTCGTGACGTGACTTCCCTCTGTCTTTTCTATAAATATTTTCATGTCAAGTGTTCTATGAGCTTTCTTTCTTGGTATCTCGACCACATGAATTTAAACGCAGTGCTAGATTGGCAACTAGGTCTTATCGGTTTACTGCTAAAATAGCTAAATGTAACCATTCTATATTAACAGGTTCTTTTCTCACCTGTTGAAGTCTCTTCCGGCTTCTTGCCTTCCTGTCACCTACCATCTTCAAATGTTTAAATGCAACATCAAACGTTATCTGTTTTCTTGAAATTTGTTCTTTTATTGTTCTTTCGTCTCAGTAACCCCTTGTGTCTCAGTGGAATTATCGTCTTGCACGAGGTGGAACATTTCAAAAGTTCTGATGACTGATTCTGTTATATCCCGTGCTAAAAGGAATATATACTTGAAAACACGGTGGATCAAATAAGTAAAGCTTTATTGTAAAAAACAGTACAATAAGAATAAAGGTAACAGTTATGCACAAAGTAGTCGCAAGTCAATCCAGTAGTGAGTGCTACTATTGGAAGGTTGGTAGTTCTCATGTAAGTCTGAGTCATACTCAACAGATCCCAGCTAGTATATTCAGCTACCCACCCACGAGGGTTGCATGTGGCACAAGGCTGGTTTAACGTGGGTTCTCCGAGCCCGTAGGCTCGGCCAAAAATATTCCCTTTTTGAACCCGCATAAACGGGTTCAGGGGCAGTTCACCTCCCCCGAATGAGACTCTGCCCTTCGGCAGAGCCACGTCCGGGTTCCTCTCTGCCCGAGGGAAGAGAGTTCGACTGTTTAGCTGGAACAGATCCCGGCTAGTTTCTGTAGTCCGTTGACTTACAAATACTTTTAGGTAGTTACTGCCTACAGTGTAGTCACTCATTGGGGTGACAGGTTATTCAATTACATCAATTCAAAGCTCATTAGTCAATATAAACATCAAAATTGAATACAGCATAAAACTATTAATTGAGGGTAAACCAAATAATATCGCGTGAAAACTTGCAGCGCTGTGAGTTTAAGCAATCTGTGGTCGAGCTGGTTAAAGCATTAACGTTGAAAAACATGATCCTGATATAGAGACTCGGATTCAAGCCATGTAATACGATGACCTTACTTCCGCATTGAAACACCGATTCCAGTACGATCACTGAAGTTAAGCAATGCCGAGCCTGGTCAGTAACTAAATGGGTGACTGCTTGGGAATACCAGGTGCTGTAAGCTTGGATGTGTGGGTGGTGTAATGGATAATGTCTCGTAATTGTTAAACGGAGAGCCAAGTTTCAATTCCATTTGCGTTTATTATATCAAATATCCTTGGGAAAGGTATGAATCCACCTCTTCTCTCCACCAGCTACGGGTTAATTAGTAAGACTTTTTTTTTTCACTAAACCGTTATTATCTCCAAAACAACTTACAATCTGAAAATTTTTTATGGCTTTAAATAACCAGCAAAGGTTTTATAAGCTGTATAAAACGATCAATATAATTTTTTTTGATCATCTCACCCCATGCAAGGCTTTAAAGTCACTAAGACACAAGGTGTATCAGAGCCGGTGCAAGGATCTTGTATCCCCTCCCCTGATACTGGGTCTCTCACTCTACTACACCTTAATTTTCATGAGATAGTATTCATATAAAATACACATTTTATTATTTACACTCTTTACATTGTTCGAACTGTCATTATCATCTTTATTGTCCCATTAAAACTTTGTGAACATGACAATAAAGATGAGAACAACAGTCCAAACAATGTAAATAGTTACAATACTTCATCTTAGAAATATAGACAGGGTCAATAATGTTATTGGTTACTGACCTGGCATGGTATGTGGAATTAGAACAATCTACCGCCGTGGACTAAATAATGGGTTCGGTTCGAAATTCCAGCAAATATCACCTGAAAAAGGCTGGAGTGTATAACGTTGTGAATGTGACAGTAAAGGTTAGGACAACAATCAGAACAATGTAAATAATGTAAATAGTTACAAATCTCAGAAATATAGAGATATTTGATCTGCTTTCAAATTTTTATAATTATAAAGTACGCCCTGACCTTCTTCAGGATTTTTCTATATTTGTAAGGTGAGGTAACTATTTACATTGTTCGAACTGTTGTCCTCATGTTTACTGCCATATTCAGCTTCAACATCTGTCTCTATTTCTGAGATGAAGTATTGTAACTATTTACATTATTTCCGTTACTCGGACTGTTGTTCTCATCTTTATTGCCACATTCACTCCCGTGGACGAAATAAAGGGTTCAATTTAAAAATCCCAACAAATATCACCTGAAGAAGCGTACAAACGGCCGAAACGTCGTGAATGTAACAGTAAAGATGAGGACAACAATCCGAACAATGTAAATCGTTACAATGCCTCATCTCACAAATATAGACAGGGTTAATAATGTTATTTGTCCTGACTGTGGCATGGCATGTGGAATTAGAACATTCTACCGCCGTGGACTAAATAATGGGTTCGGTTTGAAATTCCATCAAATATCACCTGAAAAAGGCTGGAGTGTATAGCGGCCGAAACGTTATGAATGTGAGAGTAAAGATTATGATAACAGTCAGAACAATGTAAATAGTGTAAATAGTTACAATAACAAATCACAAAAATATAGACACAGATTTTATTGCAACCTAATTATGTATAATAATAGTTAATATGCAATATAGGTGAATATTTTAACTAGAAAAATTGAAAATAAATACAATGTATCTAAATAAAAATGAATGAAATGCCATAATAGATCATTCCATCTAAAATAAATCATGTTTTGCGACAATTTTTATCATCAACTTCTGATTATTCTTGTTAAAAAGTTGAATAATTTTAACACATTCAACATTATGGATAAAATATAGTGAATTTTATAAAAAATTGTTTGTTCATGTGCAAAACAAATTCTCGAATTTGAATGAAAAAAGTCCCAAGAATGGCGTCAAAATCCGCGAAAATTGTTTCATCCTTTAATAGTTGTGCTTAGTTTAATTTGTAACGTATAGAAAAAAAGCAAATGTTGATAAGATAGCAAAGGTTATAATCAGGGTTGCACATCTGTCCTGGGGGTGTAGGGTGGTCCGAGGATAGTAGCGGCCACCGAATAGTAGGCACCGGTCCTGCTGAGTGTGAAAGAATAAAAAAAACAAAAAACAAAAAGAAATATTATTAAAGTCCGAGCGAAAAAAGAAAAATTGAGAAAATTAATAAAGACTGTTAATTGTTTTAAAAATACTTTTTATGTTGTTTTAAAATGAATCTAATTAATTAATTAATTTGTATACAAAATGGCAACATTTTGTCTTTCTCATTATACTTTAATTAAAACTATAGATAATTATGAGTTGAAATCAATATTTCCAGACATCGATTATTTTGTAACGTTTACTAATATTTGAAATCGTTTCTCAAAACTTTAACGCCGTCATCATTTTTTTTTACTGAGGTGTATCAAAAGTAATTTTGTTTTTTCTCGACCATGATTCCAAAGCTTATTATATGTACGCAGTTAATGTTTAACTATGATTCCACAATATTATTAATATTGAGTTAGCGATCATCACACCAGCAAAGCGACGCTGAGAAGACCAAAATACTCATCATGAAACCGAATCTGGAGACACAGCTTGGTGTATCCTATGTGTGTCCAATGACTAGCACAGCTACGCTCTCACGTAAATCAATAAATATACAGTTTAATAAGTAAACGGAGCGTCTACTTAATTACAAGTGTCCACTAAAAATAACGTTTAAGTAATATATATATATATATATATATATATATATATATATATATATGAAGAAATATAGTCTTAAGGTGTGCTATATTTATGGGATAAAGTGCTCAATATCAGAGATAGAGCGTGTGTAAATATAAAAGTGAACATAGAAGTCAACACTTAGAGGCGACAGTCTGTTTCATGCTAGATGCAATCATCAGGCCACGTGTGCTGTTATTTTTCTCGGCTATTTATATATATACAGGTTAGTGGTGCATTGTGGGTAGTCTATTATGGTGGTTATTTTACTGGAAGTCGTTTATTTATTTATTTGGATTAAATTATTTTGCTTGTTTTTATTTTTATTTTTTGTTTCTTATTTTATTTATTTATTTATTTTTTTTAATTTTATTTTTTTTTAATCGGTGTTTTTATTAACGTAGTAAAAATTTGTTTATATCACTTATTTAATAGTTTTGTTTTTGGTTTGAGAATTTAATTAAAGCTATTTATTCGGTTTTGGGGTTGATTGTTGTAGTTTATTCTAACTATTATTTTGGCAGAAACAGTTTTTAATTTGTGTTTATTTGTGTTGATTATCTTTATTTGTTTTTTCTAACGGTAACTTTATCTGGATTGGTTATATATATATATATATATATATATATATATATATATATATATATATATATATATATATATACTGGGTGTAATAATAAAATCGTTCAACTCGTGTAACAGCATAAATGTCCATCCCACAAAATATTTAATACCTAAAAAACACTAAACTAACTGAATTTCTTTTTTCAGGTTTTCAGATAAGACGTTTAGCCATCTTGACACCATTTCTCGCAAGGATCACTGAAAAACCCTTTGAGTTATTCAGCCAAAAAGAGAGCTGCATAAAACTGTCTTGTGTTAGACCCATTGTCTTCTCAACTGAGCAATGGTGAGAAGAAAATGATCATTTAGGCCTTCAGTAATGGTACCAAAATTAATATTCTGGCTTCCATCTTCAAAGTCCATTCAAGAACCATCAAGAGAACGGTGAATAAGTTTAAAAAAGAGAGAACAGTAGTGTATAAAACTGAAATAGGAGGTCACAACAGGAAGAGGGTTCATCATTTCAACTTAAAGTTAAAGAGATCAATTAGAAAAGATCCAACTCAATTCATAAGACGTTTGGCACGTGAGAGAGGGATATCAGCTATGAGAGTTCAAAGAGCAGAGAAAAAAGACTTGAAAATGAAATCATACTTGAAACGTGTGGAGCACATTGTTACTTCAGGACAGAAGGTTAGAACGTTAGAGGTCGAATACCATCTTGAATAAGTTTGAAAATGATTCTGAAATTATATATATATATATATATATATATATATATATATATATATATATATATATATTCGTTTATGATCGATTTCATCACGATTCTTCTGTTAAGCTTGGAGAATAATTACATATTCTTATTGCTCAAGTTCCAGTAGTGTTGCAAAAACCTCGGAGAATTCCAGTAAGATATCTTTAATCATTACTAAAATACAACAGTCAGTTCAAAGCTTAATCTAACAATTGGACAATTTTGCTATTACACGTGGTATATATATATATATATGTATATATATATATATATGCATGTGTATGTATGTATGTATTATTAACATGCAAAAAACAAGCGGCTCTCGAAAGGGCCCACTTAATATGACACCCCGAAAAAAGAGAGCTCAATGCCAGAGCATATTAATCAAAATATTCCCGTCTAGACTGGTTGCCAATCGAGCTGGAAGAGTCTTGTTTGACTTACTATATAACCTATAGCTGGAGAGAGAAGTGATAGATCTATACCGTTACCTTTATTCTCGAAAGTCAACGTTAGGAAACTCGATTGGAATTTGAACTCGGCTCTGCAATTTTTCGTTCCTAGCCGCTATCCATTGTACCACCCACACATTTTTTTTTATCTTCTTTTCTTTCTTTCTTTTAAGAGCAGTTTAAATTTTTATTTAATCTACTCTATCTGATCGACCGAAGTCGAGATCATAGAATAATTGTGAACTCCATGTTCATTTCGTTGGCTGTATAGTGTGTGTTTCGCCGTGGGTTTCATCTGGTTTTGAATTCAGTGTTCTCTTTCTCCGATACTAATTGCTACTAACGGTTACAGAGCTGAGTCTACATTGCTATTTAACCCATATTTAGGAGGGGGTGAAGAGATGGATTCATATCTCCCCCAAGGATATTTGTGCAAAAGTAAGCATAGACAAACTCGATCGGGATTCGAACTAGGTTCGCTAATTTCTCGTTACACCACCTGCACATCCATATTGATAATAAAAGCCTAATAGATACCATTCCATTATCATATAAGGTAGAGAAGCAAAAATGGAAAAAAGAGGTTTATTGTGTGTGTAGTAATCATGAGATATGTACATATTTGAATTCGATATAAAAATGCTCATACTAATTGAAATACAGCAATCCCTCGATTAGT